GTACAAAATTTAGTACCTGGTGTTATTAACGCAATTAGACGCCGTTTTGGAAAGCTAATGCGGCTTAATTGCGGAAGTTTCGGTTGGTTTACTACCATTGACTGGGTCTTCCCGGATGTGTCTAGGCTACGGGAAGAACTACTTTTAGGCTCACCTCTTTGTGGCCGAAGGCGTCCGGTTGAACGGCAAGTTTAAATCACATCCCGGAATCGGGAAGGCATCGAAGGTTGTGTTTGGAATGTGGAAATAGTGTTGGCCGAGATTGTATGCCGTCGTGGCAATGAAGATGGTTCAATCGATTACTTCCGGTCGAACGCCGTTTGTGGCTCCAATGGTGTCCTAGCTTGTAGTGGACGATATCGCTGTTTGAAGGAAGGCGAAGACGGGTTTTGTGCAGCGGATTGCAAAATAGTTAGGCGGTGTTTGTTTTCATGGGCAATTAATTCGAATAATGGGTTTTCAATTATGTGTAATCTGAACGACTCTGTTCTAAAGAGAGTCCGTTTTGAAAAATTCGATCTGAGTTCAACATATTTGGACAATAAACTTGTCGAATTGAAAAAAATCTATTTTCAATTAATTTGAACTGTTTAATAAATAATCAAATCTTCCTTTCTCTCTATGCCAGATTTGAATACTTACGAAGTCAACGCCCAACGTAATGTTAAATACTCAGGTATGCCAAAATGCTTACTTAATATAAAAAAAAATGTAAACTGAACTTTCAATACTTGTATTTTCCTAAATTGAGATTGTCAATAGATTCTCGCATGTTTTCATCAGTACAAATATGCAAACCTATTGAGAAGCTTGACGGTGAATATCGTCCAATGATAACATCGTGGAATGGTGCTATGTAGACAGATCGCCTATTAAATTAAAAAAGTAGTTACAGTTAGTACCGATTTGGGACTGTTTCACCAATTTCTCGATAACAGTTATTTGATCAATATTGGAATTATTAAAAAAATATTAAAGTATGACGTAGACCCACGCAAAATTGATGCTTGCTGCAGGACCAAGTGTCACGCCGTCCGAAGCGGTAATGAGCAGAGACATGTAGTAGTAAAATTTACGTTTATTTTCTGGTTTTTATGTTTCAACAATTGGTTTAACATTTCAATTGGTTAACCTTTGACTCTTCATCTTTGCGTGAAGTGATGATTGCGTTTAGCGCTAATTTACAGGTTACCCTTTATTTGATTGTTTTGGTTTGAATTAAAAAAATTGATAACCCATCTACTTGAGCACAGGAAACTACCTAACTACTTAAACTAGGTTGCCAAATCACGAATGATCTGGTGGTTTGATCGCAGACAGGTGACTCTGAACCTTTCCAGCGTGGAAGTCTTTCGCTCCTCGAGTGTTTGAAGACCGGTCAGGTAGTGAATCTCAGAATTACGAGTTCGCGGTGGACTGTTAAGGATCATTCTGAGGGTCTTGTTTTGGATCCTCTGAAGCTTGATCTGCTTGTGGACAGCAAGCTTGTTTTTGAGGGAAACGGTGGACTTCCTGTTTATGAGAGGGTAGAGCGACCTGCTTAAGGTGTTACACTTGGTGGATGTCTTGTCCACATGGGATCGGAATAGCAAGGGTGAGACCAAGGTAGACTACTTCACTCGACGATTCAATGGGAGTGCTATCAAGATGGATTAGATGGATAGCTGCATTGATACAAATCTTCCAGCTCTTGAAATAGTCGGACAGAACATCCAGGCCTGATTGTAGTTTACTCGCCAGAGCACGGATCACTCGACCCTTATAGATGATGGAGTGTCATCTGCGAGCATTGACAGGATACCACCACCCGGCAGGGAAGGAACGTCTGACGTGAAAATTACCCTGAGGGACCCCTGCATCAACATTGAACGTATCAGAGGGGACATAGTTCAAGTAGACCTGGAATGATCTGCCCGACAAGTAGTTTTTGATGATCTTCACGAGGTAGATCGGAAAGTTGTATCAATGCAGCTTGTACACTAGGCCATCATGCCAGACATTGTCGAACGCCTTCTCGACGTCCAACAATGCCATGGCAGATGTATTGGAAACGGACTTGTTCCGCTTGATGATGTTAGTAACCCCTGCGAGTTGGTGGATGGTAGAGTGGCCTTTCCTAAACGGGAATTGCTCTTTGAGAAAGATGTTATTGTCATTTGAAATCACCAGCAGACGGCTGAGTATCAACTTTTCGAATAGCTTCGAGATGGAGGACAAGAGGCTGATGGGGCAATAGCTTTTGGCACTGGTAGGATTTTTGCCAGGCTTGTTTGTTGGAATCACTTTGGCTAACTTCCAGGGAAGTAGCCAAGCTCCAAACATTTTTTGAAGATAAGGGTAAGATGGTTGAAGAAGTCAATACTCAAGCAGAGGCATGACAGCACCGCTGTTTTAAATCTTTTCAGGTTCAAGCAGAATGATGTACAACCAAGTGGTATTCGTTTATGATGACTGGGTTTGGGGAAAACGTTTAGTTCATGAAAACAGTGACCAAAATTATCATTTGCGCTTTTTTCAAAAGATTTTTGATTAAAAATTGGAAAAGTATTTAATTCAGAAGATTCGTTAAGTAATATCCTATCGATTAGCGTATTTGGATTTCAATTTCATTTATAAATGACAAAGTTACAAGCGTTCAAAACCTTACACTATTTCACCACACATATTTTTTTTTAATTTGTACCCCAGTATAGTCGACAAAGACGTAGTTCTACGTCAAAAGCGATGGGTCTTTGTTTGAAATCTTAAACTCAGAAAATCCTACAGGATGAACATCCCAAATATCTTACTATTAGTTTTATGAGGGTTCTGTAGCTCATGATTTAGATTGCTTTAGAACCACGATAAAATTTTACATAAGGTTTGTTCCCGTATTTGCACTTTTGCTTTTGCTGATAATTGCTGTATGAAAATATTGTCTGTTGCAGTGGTGACTGGATTTTTGGGAATATTTTGAGTCGCACATGAATGGTACGCTGACGAAAAACAACGAACTTTTTGGTTACTTCACGCCTCGAACACTATTGAGTTTAACAAATTTGGAAACAAAAAAGGTATACCATTTAAATTTAAACACGTCTCAAAATCATTTTCAATCTAATTCATACTTGGAAAACCATATAATTGTTCACAAATAAGTAATTTAGAATTGTTTGCAAAATTGCAAATATTTTGCAACATTATTTTTAAACGTGTTTCGAGTAGAATGTAATGAGAGTGTAAGATCTTGAAATCAAAACAACAACAAAAACCAAAACAGACACTTTGTTGTTGTTTTGATTCCGAACAAAAATCAGTTGCGAGCTACGATTTCGATCAGAAGAAGTGAAATTATTATCGGAGCTATCATCATATGTAAGTTTTACCCCTTAAATTATCGGAAATATCTTAGGACTTAAGAATTTATAGTTTTGTGTATCCTCTTTGCAGAATCTACCATGGATGCAGACGAGGAGGAGTCAAAGAACGAGACGTTTTCGTTCGCTGAAGACGTTCCAGAATGCAGCTATCAAGCAGAGTAGCTACTCGAAGCTCTCGATGAGGAATTTTCTGATCAAGATCCACTAAGTGACGTCAGCAACAAGGAAAATTCTGGTCCCAAAATCTTCAAACAAACGGAAGAAAACAGAAAAACGCGTTGAGCTTCGTGAACCAGCCAGCAGCCAACTTGCTCTCCGTGGAGTTTTCTTCAAGCGACGTTTTGTAGGGGAAACTTCGGGAAGTCAATTCTCTTCTGCAACAGTTGCCGGGAATTCGGTCGAGGAAATTATGCGAGGTGTTTGGAAGATTTTGCAACCTGTCTTGTGTCGGGAAATCGTATTTGTTGAAAATAACGGTTTGCAGGTTCCGACATGGGCTGATGGATTATCCTGATTTCAGTGCAATGAGCAAGTTTGTCATAATGCAAGATCAACCCCAGAAGCGACGTCTTACTATCGATCAAATTGATAGCAAACTACTCGTATCATGGAGAGAGAAGGAAATCAGGATTCATGTGCACATCTATTCAAACGCAGTGTCTTGTAGATCACTTTGGGATTTGGCTGACAAGCAACTAATTCGTTTTCAAAACGCATATCGTTCAGGAGCACCAAACAATCAGACCTTGACTAATCTGGCAAAGGAACTTCAGGATCTTCATGAACATCATTTCACCGGACATTCAAGTGCCTGGAGGCTCTGGGCTAACTACGTTCACTCGGTTTCTCCACATGAACAAGAACGCCGAATGTCTGGAATGCCTTCCGATCGGTGCCATTATCAGAAGCTATTAGAATGGAAACAACCCGGAGTGGGTTGTCTGTAGCAAGCACGATCAACGATGGATTTATGTCTGAACTAGCTGAACTGGAAGCCGAGGCGGATCTCCTGATTGAAGTAGGACAAAGAGTAAAAAGACGAATCATTGGACCAAGGTTGCAAAGACTCATTTCAGCTAAAATAATGTTTTTCGGAATAATAAAACCAAAAGATGGTATGATGGCATGTTTTACTTGTAACTTACACGAAGAGGTTACAAAGTATGCGTTGGAAAAATAAAACCTGTAAATTTTGCTTTCTATGAGTCACAATCAGCGATTTGCTGATCGCTGAGTGAGTGAGTGAGTGAGTGAGCGAGTGAGTTTGTGAAAAATCGCTGATTGTGACTCTCATGAAGTGAAATAAACAGGTTTAATATGTCAAACACATTCTTTGCAACCTCTTCTTGTATCCTACCAATTCAAAATTTGATCATGGCATCTAATTATTTCATAATTTAGAAAAACATTGTTTTAGCTGAAATGAGTCTTTGCAACCTTGCATTGGACTACGGTCTCGTTCAACAATAAATGCCAGCTTAGTATCCGCAATGTCCGAAACTCTACACCCAGAAGAGAACGAGTTAAGCCACTCATTAGCAGATCGGATTGTCGACATGCAAGATGTTGATCATGCATAAACACGGATCTGTATTTTTATCATGGTTTTATTATTCCAAATAAACTGTTACATTACTTCACTTACTCACTCATATTAGATTCGAAATTTAGGTTTTCGATGGTTTTAGACAAACCAACTGTAGGATTGAACGTTCCCCCGGGTAGATACCCACAGTGCCGGAAAATTTTAGTACAATCGTAAGAAGAAAATGCTGAGAACGTAGATATGGCTACATGAGATAGATTTTCGTTTCGGTTTTCATTGTAGGTTTGCTTTATTGAATTTTTCGTGATTCCGAATACCAATTCAATCGGATTATAAAAAGGACAGTATGGGGGAAGAAAAACTGGAATGATTCCGATTGATCGCAAATACAATACGATGTTCTGATCACAGTGGATACGAGCACCATCTAGTATCCACACAGAATTCGCTCCCGGATATCGATGTACCTTTTTGTTTCGAAGAGCGAATGAACGGCAGCATTAAAAAAAATTTCAAGTGAATGTTCCCTCCGTTTCAAAACTGTCCAGCATCCCATTCTGCCCCAAAAAACACAAAAATGACACTCTTGGACGCCTAACAAATTCACCGCAAAACACTACTATCAGAACACCAGGGGGCTCATGACTAAATTGGACGATGTTTATCTGGCTGCGCTTGACGGGGAATATGACGTTTATGTATTCACGGAAACTTGGCTCGATGGGAGGATCAATTCAGTGCAACTGTTTGGTGACTCTTTTACTGTCTACAGATTAGACCGTAATTCATCCAACAGCATTCGTACTCGCGGTGGTGGTGTGCTCATCGCTGTTTCCAACGAATGCGCCTCCTGCGTAAGCTCCAACGAACTAATTACTACAATTGAAGCGGTTTGGGTTAAGGTCAGCCTCACTTCGCAGAACATCCTCATTGGAGCGGTGTATATTCCCCCTAAACGTCGACATGACTGCACCACAATGCAGCTTCATCTGGATGCTACAGAATTTGCATCGTCCATGGCTGATATAACGGATGTGCTTCTTCTGCTTGGTGATTTTAATCAGCCTGGGCTTAGCTGGTCACCCTCAGGCCAGGGTTATGCGTTTTCAGATCCGATTGCATCTTCAACTACTCCTGCCAGCCGCTTGCTTGTTGACGGCACGGCTTTTCATGGACTGAGCCAGACAAACCTTGTTCCCAATTTCCAGTCTCGTTTTCTTGACTTGGTTTTTAGCGAAAGTGCACTTCTGGACTGTGTCGTCGCTGAAGCGCCTGATGTCATCGTTCCTCTTGACAATTTCCACTCTGCTTTGGATATATCTATCGCGAACGGATCTCAAATTCGTTTTGATGAAACCATGACTGCCACTCGGCTCAATTTCCGGAAGACCGATTTCCGTTTGCTGAGACGTTCCTTGTCTCAGATCAACTGGAACGTGTTGAATGACCTTGATATCGATACAGTAGCTTTTTGCGCGACTGTGTTTGTGCTTCAGTACCGAAGTGCCAACCTCCAAGAAGTGGACGATAACGCTACTCTCCGCAACCTGAAACGAGTGCGATCTAGAGCTCTCCGTGCTCTCTTTCATCGACGACGACGATGTACAAGCTTCTTTACAAGAGGTATGTAATTCGTACTCAACATAATCTGCAATGCCACCCCAAGGGATTCTGGTCGTTTGTGAATACGAAGAGGAAGGAAACTGGACTGCCGTCAAAAATGTTTCTCGGCAATGACACTGAGGTCAAATGCGACAACTGAGGACAAATGCAGCCTATTTGCTAGGCACTTCTTAAGCGTCTTCTCGAATGACTCCCCATCGCAAGCAGAAATTGAGCGAGCCGTCCGTGATGTGCCAACCGACGTCGTAAACATGGATGTTTTTGCCGTAGATGTACAAATGGTTCTCTCTGTGATGAGTAAAACCAAACCATCATTTTCACCAGGTCCGAGTGTTATTCCATCTGCAGTCCTAAAAAAAATGCTCCGATATCTTAGCTGCTCCGTTGTCCTTGCTCTTCAACCTGTCACTTCGTCAACTGAACTATTCCCGCACTATGGAAACGGTCTACTATGTTCCCTGTTTTCAAGAAAGGAGACAAACGCAATGTGGAAAACTACCGTGGGATTACCTCGCTTGGGGTTGAATCTAAGTTGTTTGAGTCGCTGCTAAATGAGAGATTGTTTGCTTCCTGCAAGCATTACATAAGTACATGTCAATATGGTTTCGTTCCTGGCCGCTCCGTGGAAACTAATCTCGTCAGCTTTACGTCGTTCTGTATGGAAAATGTATGCAAGAAACTTCAAGTGGATTGCCATCTACACTGATCTTAAAGCTGCGTTTGATAAAGTTGTGCACGACGTTCTGCTAGCAAAGCTTGAAAAAATTGGATGTTCTGTTTCCTTCTGCAGCTGGTTTAGATCGTACCTCGTGCAACGTGAAGTTACTGTATGCATTGGAAACTACTCATCGTACTGTTTCTCGAACAGATCAGGAGTTCCACAGGGTAGCACTTTGGGACCAATGCTCTTCTCTTTATTTGTGAACGATGTAACGTTTATTCTACTACGTGGAGGTAAATTGTTTTTTGCCGATGACTTGAATATTTATCTAGTCGTTCGAGGCTATGCCGACTGTTTAGAACTACAAAACCTTCTTCAAATCTTTAATGATTGGTGTGAACGTAATTTTATGGTCCTGTGCGTCTCAAATGCTGCATAATAAGTTTCCGTCGAACTAGGACTGCCGTTTTGTTTGACTATAACATTGCTGGGGCTGCAGTTCAACGTGTCGATCACGTTAAAGACCTCGGTGTCATGTTGGATGAAAAGCTCACATACACTCGCCACTTCTCAACCACGATCGACAAAGCTAATCGACAGCTTGGATTCATGTTCAAGATATCTAAGGAATTTCGTGATCCTCTGTGTTTTAAAGCCCTTTACTGTTCATTGGTACGCTCACTACTGGAATTCGCGTGTGTTGTCTGGAATCCCTACCAAGCTGTATGGAGTGGACGATTCGAAGCTGTTCAACGCAAATTCGTCAGATACGCACTGCGCTATCTTCCATGGAGGGACCCGCTGAATTTACCACCGTATGCTGACCGCTGTCGTTTACTGGGTTTGGATACTCTTGCTAAGCGACGAAACATATCGCCGGTCGTCTTCGTTGCTAAAGTTTTACTCGCAGAATATGATGTTCCTGAGTTACTGGACAAAATTAATCTGTATGCTCCTGCCCGAACACTCCGTCCGAGAACCTTGCTACATGAAGTAGTACATGCAACCCCTATGCTGCAAACAGTTCTTTTGTCGCCATGATTCATCAATTCAACGAAGCCTCTGACCTATTTGACTTTGACATCAATGCGTCCAGGTTTCGTCATCGTTTGCTGTTGGCCAATTTTTAATTTTTAATGAGTAACTACATTTAGATTTAAGTGTTTCATTGTGACTATCAAGTCAGATGGACTATAATAATAATAATAATCTAAAAACACGAGATTGAACAAATCCCAATCTATTGAATTGAGCTCCGAAAAAAAAACGAAAGATTTCGTGCTCCCTTATTTGGATAGCACGCCGTTCGAGGGCTTTCCATGTCAGACCTTCCGCATGCAAAATTCTGCATATGCTCGCTGCACTTATTGTCACCTGGAAGTTCCGATAGAATAGATTGCTGCATTCATCCAAAAATAATACCGGATTGTTCTGGTACTGCTGTACAATCCAGTATCTGTGCTCTGCTCGGAATTTGTTGTAAATCTGTTTCCGCTGCTTCTTCGTGACCAAGCCATCCTTCTCGTAAGCTAGAATCCAGCTCGAAATTGTAGTTTTACTCTTCTTGTAAATCACGGACAGATTAGTCCTTGAAATTCTCAGAAAATAGTATCCATATAGGCAGTGGTACTTCGTATCACAGCTGGCTCGCCGACCACGAACGTTTTCCAGAATAACATAAGACATGATCAACTGAAACAGACATATTTATGAATAAATCAACTTACAACCAATTTAGTATTGAACTGGTCGAGCTGTAGATAACGTATTTACTTACCGGCAGGGAGTAAACAAGTATAATTTACGACAAATATTTGAATAAATATTAAGTTCGTAGAAAAAAATCGTGTTTTGTGACTCGAACAGACAATCAAAAGCCAATGTTTTTGTATTCACTTCGGATAAGCATAACTGTCACTTTGACAACTCTATCTGTCATACGCATGGCCCGCACTTATTTCATCCCCGCACTTTCAAAGTGCGGAGTCCAGTAAGGTGCAAAATCCGCAATAATACAGGAATCTCCGATTTGCGCGGTGGGTGGTGCCGTCTACTCACCACCATTTTCCAGCAATCTTTCAACCAACTGAACTATTTTTTTGTTGGTGACAAGTTTGTAGTTGACCCTAACCACATACCTCACCCCCAAGCTTCTCCCCTGATCTTAACCGCGAGTAAGCCACGAGCATTCGGCCTAACTCTTACTAGATCTAGAATAAAGTAAATTGTATCACAAAACAATCAATTGTCGGCTCCGCAAAAGCTAACGCGATTGAGCCTTTCAAATTAACCGAACTAGATTAAAAAAAATCCAACTCATTGGCTTGTTGGTTGATCAATATTTGTACGTCCAACCAATAAAAAAAATATGCCCGCAATTTCAAGACATGCCGGCATCGTTCGATGGCACTATTCACGCTACATAAATCCCTTCCGGAATAAGCATCCTTCCAACTGTCTGAGATTCTTCCATGGCGCATAATTTCCATCCCCCATCGTCCCCGGCAATGTACCGAATCTCACCCGGAAAAGAAGCTCCATTTTATTTCATGAATTATTTACAAAGTATTATTGTCTATATTATTAAGTGCACGGAATTTGTCTTCCGCCCGGATTTTCTCTGTCCCAAACTATTCCCACTACCCAGGGGCAGTGGCTGGATAAAAAGGACAAAACTGTCGCTTCGTTTAACGATTCTGCTGTCACTCCGCCGTCCCTCCGGGTTTTGTCGTTCTATTTTCGTTCTCGGACACCCTGGGACCGCGCCGGGGAGAGTGGAAAGTTTATCCAAGTCGAATCCTTTTCCCTTCCGGCTTATTGCTCACCGTCAGGAGAAGTCGGGTTCTTTTTTTGTCGCTTCTCTGCTCCGTTCCGTACACCAGGACTAGCATATTCTTTTTGAAGGTTATTACCAGTGATTCTCCGACCGAATGGCAGTTTATGATGGAAAGTGGTGTCACTAGCCACCCCACCGCACCCTCGCCACCGGTCGGTCGGTGTTTTGTTTTTGCGCAATGATGAAGACGACAAAAGTTTCGCCCCTCGGTTTCCAAGGATCGCTCGGTGGTCGGATTATGGACGAGTTGTTGGAAATGTTCGGTCATTGATTGATATTGGATGGAAGATGGCATCCTTTTTGGGACACAAAAAAAAAACGGAGAAGGCTTTGGAAGAAAACACAAACGTCATCCCGCAAGGAGTCGATTGGAACTGATCTAGATGGCGCAGCGTTATGGGGACGACACCAAAAGAAGAAGACAACCAAAAAAACTTGAAGTGGGAGACGTCTGTCAGGCTCAATTTCGGTGGCAATCGTTCATACAGGCTGAGGGAGGCCCGGTATGAAATATGATACTGCTAAAACTGGGAACAGGCTTATTTCTTTTCTTCGCATGGTTCGCGTATAAGAAAAATGTGGAGCTGCATGGTAATTTGTTTTGAAGGATTGAAGCTTGTGTTGGAACGTGAAGCAAAATGTGTTGAGATTTATCTTCATTTTGTATATTTTTCAAAACAAAACAACAAAGACGAACACTGACACGTGAGGTGCAGCTCGGAGCTCGTCGTTCAACAGCTTTCAACAAAAGTTGAAAAATGCACACCGAAAAAGTAGCAGGCTCTGGCGTTGCCAAAGTGTAGCA